ATGTATGTGTGTGTGTGTGTGTGTGATTGATTCATGAATCAAGACACTTTTTTGAGAGTACTTCAAACGTAGCAATGCACTTCAGTCCAGGAGCAAGACACTTTTGTTATTTTTACTCCCTCAGGCACAAGGTATAACTAAGACAAGTTACACGGTGATTTGGAGACGTGCAAATGACCACATCGAGGGGACAAATTAATCGAGTGGATTTGAACCTAGACCTCCAAATACAAAAGGCCAGTGCTTTAGCGTACCATGTAACTTCTGGCATGAAATTTAGCTAAAATGAAAGTAAGAAAGAAAGAAAAACAAATCAATTTGATATATGCTTTGTACTGTATTGGTGAGGGAACACAAAGACAAGTATTCTACACACATAACTGCTGAATTCATATTGCTATATTTAAGTTTGTGTTTACTCTTTGACATCCCCCCTTTTTAGAGACACAGTTCCTCAGCTGGTTTCAATTACACGTGGAAGAGACTTAGTGCCAAGTTGTTTGCATGAGTGAATTTTATTTATAGTTTGTAAATCAGTTGTGGGATTTTTAGTCAAAGAGCAGGAGAAGAAATTTTAAATGAGTTTAGATATTTGCCTCTATTTACCAATATTCAGTTTACACAGGGCTTTATGGTATTAAAAATGGCACTTTACAGATAGCAAACCTGATTCCCAACTTTCTTGTCCCATCAGCAAGAGTCTGGCTGTAACTTTTGACTTGAAAGTGTATTTTATTCACTTGGGACAGGTGTAAGTAACTCAACAGATGCAAAGTAATGTGAATTAGGAAATAAACACAGAGGATGGAACTATGGGTTTTCACATGAGCCATTCAGATACATTTTAAACTATGACAGTGAAAACTATTTGACAAATCCAGTATTTTATGAATTCAATATTGACCAGATTTATGATTTTGTTAAGCATCCAGTGTAATTCATCTCCTTTCTGTTGTCATTACATCAATAGATCATCAGATAATTTCCCATATATTTTCTGGGGTTTATTTTGTCCCTTTAGCTTTTCTGTAGGGACTGTGGATATACAGAAAATAACACATGCTAACATTTTATGCTAATCTTATATGTAATACTATATATACTAATATTTTATGTTAGATACAACCACTCTGGTGTTCCCTTGATATTCTGATTCAGCCTGAGCTGCTGGGTTTTCACTGGGACCTCCAGCTCTTCCCCCTACCGACTCAGCTTTGGCCTTTTCTGCACCTCTGACTGCAGGGCTGATGTCCCAACACCTTTAGGTGGGTTGCTTTCAAACATGTATTAGCCTGGGGTCCAAATGATTTTACTGATTTGGACCCTGTGTTTTTGCTGGTCCTCATATTCAAGGAACAGTGTAAGATTTTCCAAGCATTATAGCTCCTACGTGCTGCAACATACTGTACATAAGGTTTCTTGTATTTTAGTACCTAAAAAACATCATGTCACTTCTGCACATATTATCCTACTGAAAGGGAATAAAAGAGGATGCAGAATGAGTGCTCAGAAAATTAGGATTTTGAAGGACTTTGAAAAGGAAAGTCTTTTAGGCAGAGAAAGTTGAAGGATTTTTTGGTTATTGATGGAGGAAATAGTGCCATTTTAGAAGTATTTTAGAAGACTGTTAGAAACTAGGGATGAAAATTAAAAGAGCAGTAGAGAAGAAACTAGTAGTTTAACACTAACAAAGGAAGCATTGCATTTTCTTTGGGAACTGCTTTCATTTTTGTTGTAATTGTGAATTCAGGTTCATTTTCATGATCCTATGATAAATTAACTGCTTTTTAGATAGGAATTGATGAACCTTTTCATGTGCTTTGCATGTGTGCTACTAAAAAGTAAACGCTTGTGACATCAAAATGGCTTTATTTACGCTGAAATGTTGGTCACCACAGCAGTTGCATGTTATGGGGAGATGAGAGAGGCCCAAACTCATGGCAGTTCTTGCTCAGAAGTCCTCCCTCTTAGTGGATTTCCTAATTAAGCATCTAGCCTAGGAACCCAGCTCTCCCAATTTGCCTTTCCACACTAGGTGCCCAGTCTAGAAAGCCCTAATTACAAACATTGTTGTCACTGCCCCCAGCTGGAAAACAGAGCAGTTTATGTATGAATAAGAGAGATTATCGCCCATCTGCTCCAGCCCATTATTCAGGGATGTGTCATTTTGTATGCTGATGGCAGCCATTACTAGTGCTTTCTAGTGCTTTAGTCAAATGGCTTTTTTTTAATAGCTTTTATTTATTTACCAAGTAGCAGAAATACAGCCTTCCCCACCTACCTCCTCACCATGCATATGGTTTGTTTTAAAACCTGGGCTATGCAGTTAAACTGAGTCAAGGCCAATCTGAGGAGATGCTCACTTTTCTCACGGGCTCCTGTTTCTTGTGGTCCGCTCCCTATGAAGCCATGGTTTTAAAAGATCCAAACATTGTGTATGGGAAATGGAAAGACATAGTTTTTTTTTTCTTTTTTTTAGGTGTAAAATAAACATAGTAAAGCAGAGAAGAAGTGTGAGCTGATCATGGATAGCAATTAAACTCCAGGAAGATAAATAAAGCTCACGTGAGCTTCCCCCTATTTTACAGAGGAGGCATTTGACCCGAGAACTCTTTGTCAAAGTTCTGCTTGACACAAAATGCCATCTTTACTTCATAAGAAGAAAAGAAAAATTTCTGCAATACTTAGCAAACCCTCACTCAGCTAAAGCTGGGCACTCAGGTCTCACTCCCCCCATCTCCAATACCAAGAAGCACAGATGCTAGGATGCTGTCAGGGCTGGAACCTGCGAAGCGTGATGCCAAGTGACAAGACAGACCAAGCAGGTTTGCGGTGCCCTTGCAGGTCACAGTAGGTTTATAGCCACCACCACAAGTGCGATAGGCTGGAATTACTTGAATTACAGGTACTGCTGCACACTCCAGCACTTGGCGTGAAAGTCTTTCTCAATTCTTGCTAGCCAGCGTTCAACTGATGGATTGTCTAGTTTTTGCCTGAATAATAGGCTTATTTTTGGGTTTGGGTTTGTTCTTTTAAAAAAAAATCCCTAGAACTATTAGAAACTACTTAACCCTCGGTGTGTGCCCAGGGAACTGTTAGATTTTATGGAAAGCGTGCTGTAGCCTGATCCATGCACTCAGTGAAATGATACTTTACTGGAAACGCTTGCAGTTACCATCTCTGCTGATTTGCTAATGTGGTTAATTTGCTGAGTTTTTACAAATCCTTCACAGACAAAGGCAGCATTAGAAAACACAAGTTTCACTATCACCCTCGGTGTGTGCCCAGGGAACTGTTAGATTTTATGGAAAGCGTGCTGTAGCCTGATCCATGCACTCAGTGAAATGATACTTTACTGGAAACGCTTGCAGTTACCATCTCTGCTGATTTGCTAATGTGGTTAATTTGCTGAGTTTTTACAAATCCTTCACAGACAAAGGCAGCATTAGAAAACACAAGTTTCACTATCAAAATGCAGGTCTTGTGAGTAATAAGAAGGAAAAAAAGACAGCAAGTAACCACTTGATGGAAATTCCAGGACTCTGGATTTATTGAGGAGGTGTATGGGCCTCTCGTGGGCTATCAGACCTGGATCTCTCCTTGCCCCCACTCCAGAATAACCCCCTCCCGCCCAGAGCCCCATTTTATCATACAGGTTAAGCCAGCTAACGACAACCCTGGCACAGTTACACAATGAAGAAAAATATATTCAAAAGACTCATGCAATATTAAAAAAAAAAATCAAATCAAAATAAATAGGTATCAGAAGGGTTTTTAAAAGAAAAGGAATGCATTGTTAGAAACACAAGCTTACCGGCACATACAATGCATTGTATTTCAGTGAATTTGGGAGAGTTTCTACGGCCCGCGTTATGTAAATGCATTGTTCAATCTAAGGTAAGGATTGTGTTTAGTGGGTTTAAAATGACAGTATATAGCTCCACATCTCACATGGAAAAAGAGGAAAATATATGCTGAGAGCCTGTTGCTGCTCCGTGTGTTTCGAAACAGGAGCGCAGGGGAAGCAGATGCCTTAACAAGCAGTAGGGAGGGGGAGGGTGCGTACTTCAGCATATCTGGTAGATTTTCTATATACACTGTCCTTTTAACTATAGGGGAAATTGATACTGAGCATGTGCGATGAAGAGAAAGCTGGCAATGTGGGTGTGAGGGATGGGTGAAGAAAGGGAATGAGGGGGTGTGGCATCTCAATCAAGATTAAAACGAAACCGATAAAGCAGCATATGGACCGGATAACAAATCAAAAAGCATGTTTATCCACTGAAGGAACTGGTTAATGGAGACTGCCAGCACGTTGCCATGGAAACACTGACTGTTGGCGCTGCACCATCTCATACCTTATCCAATACATTCCTGGTTGTTGGTAGTAGTCCAAAGACCCTGATCTCTTGATGGTAAACCCGTGGTCCAGCTGAGCAGAAAGAAACGGGGCAACTCAGTGGATCGACATTAGGCTAGAGAATTCAGACTCCAGAGCAAGCTGTTCCTTATTTAGTGCATATTTACTGTTTTCACTTTCAGAAGGCTCTTATCTAACATCCTAAAGCTATGTACTATAGAAGAAAAAGAAAAAAAAAGGTAAAGAAATAAAAGAAGAAGATACTAACTCTAGATTTGGTCTTGCTAAATTAGAAGCCAATTTATTCAAACTAAAACGGAGTTTGTGAAATAGGTTACTTAATGCATAATGCATTCATTTAAAAGTCTGACAAATATCTTGTTACCTCTAAAGACAGTAGTGCCCTTTTAAGTTGCACATACCAGTAACAGAAAATTATCTTTTGCAGTTAAACTAAGAGGTTTAATAATAATAAAAAAATAAATGCAGTGCAACCGTCACAAGGAGCAGGCTAGACAGACTACACAAGGCTTAAATTAGACTGCTTCATAATCATGGAATGTGTAAAGATGAAAAGACTCAGGTTTTGATACCCCATCAATCATGGTAATTCATTTCTAAAAATGCGTTAACCTTGGAGAGTATGACTACTCAGAGCCATGAATAACATTGTTTATCATTTCAGCTTACACCTCATGCTCAAAAAGATAACAGTACAAAACTGTTCAGTTTAAAATTGCACCAATTAAAGTCAAAATGGTAATGAAGTTAATATTGTGTCCAGGAAAGTGTGCTGCTGATATTACTTAAGGAATACAGATCTTTCAAATTTAGTTTATCATTAGCAAAATCCTGTACGTAAGAACAAAGAAAATGTGTTCTTTTCCCTAGCCCTTCTGTGCTGCACTAACAGACGGTGGAGACATCATTTAAGTGAATTAAATAAAATTTTAGGGGAAAATATCTTGACGGAGACAGTCTGTCTGCTTTAAAATTATTAGTTGCAATGATTTTCACATTCTGCCCTATGAAGAGAAAAGGCCATTTTGTGCTTCAATAAGAGCGTGGCATACATTTCCAATACTGATGACAGTTTCTAATTTTAAATTCAGAAAAGCAGTTCAACACATTTCCAGGTACCAACCACTTCAAGGGGATATAGGAGCTAACTACAAATTTAAATTTTTCTTGATGACTTCCTTGTAGGTGTAGAATCTAATAATTTATTCCATTTTGTTAAAACAATGGCGCTTTCATCTTATTTAGAATTATTTAAAGGATGCTTCCTGTTTAAAACCATGGGAACCTTGTACCTAGAGTTAAATGTCTGTGGGCCGAACTACACTGGTCTGCTATTGCCATCTACTGGCTTCCTTGTATGCTGCACATAAAACACACAAAAGGGATGTTTTCCTAAAAGCGGATCAAAAATATCGCCCTAAAATCGAACAGCTAGAAAGAAATACAGAGAAAATGGGAGGGCGTCGCTTCCTAATACGAGTTGAAACAATTTCGTCGGTGTGGAAATCCTGCCGTGAGAAACCCGACTGTGGACAATGGTCCCAGGATAACACAGACAATAGATGGAAAGGGATAGTCGAGACATGGGTTCATCTTTAAGCCAAGCAAAACTCGCAGGCTAAACTTGGCTTCTCTTCCACACCACACAAGAAATCCCACGGCTAAAAATGCCACTTGGTATTTGTAATTTTATTTTTAAATCGGCAGAATGCAGGGCAATGACCCACCCACTGCCTTCCCATTGCTGGGGTCCCCAACCCAGGACCCTGCAAGCCGCAGAGAGCTGCACCAACTTTCTGAGCAGCTTTTCTCCTCTGCTATTCTGCTTGATTCCTCTGCGACTCCAGCTGGAGTTTACTCCCATTGCCAAGACAGAGGCCTCATACAACCTTAACAGCTGATTAACTTTAGTCTTTTCCTCTGTCTTAACAATGGCAAAAGTACAAGCACAAAAGTGACAACATAGAGGCAAAGCTTTAACACTTCAGACAAGGACACATATTAAACGATGCTCAGTTCATACAAGGAATTACAGTACACCTCTGGACTGCAGAAGCATTCTTAAGAAATTATTTTGGGGCTCTTAGTCACTGTAGCCAGTCACTAAATCCCAGAAGGTACAGCCACAGGGCATTTTTTTGTGGCCAAAGTGAAAAAAATGTGACCGACATCCTTGGAGAGTTTAAGGAAAAAAAAATCTACCCCCAAGTTTTAAAAAGACTAGTTAGCAGGAGTCTGGTTTTCTGTTTATACTGCAGTATCTTTTATAAACACCGCCACAGAACTACAAAATACTGCTCCTATTGGAAAGTTGTATGAGAAATGTGATCCTGCAAATATTTTGGCACATTCTTAACAGTAACCCAGCCATTCTGACACAGACTGAGGGGCACTGGCCCAGCCCTTGTCTCCCACAGAGACCAGTAGTCAATGCCTATGACAAGAGTTTAAGAACAGGGCAAGTAAAGTGATATTTCTCCTACATACCCTCTCATCAGCAAGCAGTGTTTTTTAGGGACTTGCTAATTCTCTTGCTGTTTTAAAAGCTAGCTCTCCAATTAAAATTTTGCTGGCAAAGCTATGTTGGTTTAAGGGAATTTTTTCCCAACTGACATAGTTATGCTGGCAGAACTTTTAATGATGTATTATTGTATCAACAGAAAAGTCTCTTTGCCTGTATAGTTAATTTGGAGAAATTATTCTGCTACATCAGCAAAGGAACTACTTTGCTAGGCATGTACAACATGTTCGTTATGGTAGTTTGTCCAAACTGACAAATCTTTTCAAATGTGGACAAACTTGAAGTCTGGACACATGCATGAGAAGTAGGGCGTCTCTGCCTTGAATGGTCAGAGACAAATTTTACTGAGTATTAGAGTATCAATAAAGCAGACATAAGTCTGAACCAAAGGAGTCAATGCAATTTGGACATTGCTGTAAGAAGCAGTAGCCACAATAGATGTATGTAAAACACACGTGGCTTTAAACTTCCTCCCAGTCAAGCTGACCACAAACACATCTTTAGGAACTTAATTTTCATATTATAGTTTTAATTGGTGCACATGATAAATACTCCTTGAGATCTCTGAGGTGTTACTTCTTACCCTTGAAGAAAACAGGCATATAATATAATATCATATCATACCAATGAGAGGACAAACTAAGACCTAAATAGCATATATTAACTATCTCTGTACATCAATATAGTTATAAAACTGAAAATAATGCTATTATCTATCTTTTATATTATTAAGTAAGCTGTAGAAATATATGCACATATTAACACATTTCCACAAACACAGACACAGATGTGTTATATAATATATAGAAGGCATCTCTATATATTATATACACAAGCACTCTCTCAAAAAGTTACAGTTAACATACAGGCAGGCACAAACCCCCAGTATTTTTATAGAAAATATAGTTAGTGCATGTCTTTAGTGCTGAAAAATATGTTACAGCATCTGTGGATTTACTTTTATCATACTTGAGATTGCACAGTTAAAGAAAGATTCCCAAATGTAAAACCCTGATAACATGCATGCCAAAGGTATATTAATTAAATAGGCTTTCAAATGCAGAAACTACATTTAAAGGCATCATTGTTTTACTTTTGGATTTCTTTTGTGCATTAAATTATTTTTGCAGAAAACAAAAGTAATTTATTATTAAAATAAAAATTATTTAGCATTCTGGAACATTGCCAAAACAATAAAGAGGCCTATATGTCCGTATCTTCCATTTTTTGGGAAAATGATTGACACAAGCTAATCAAACCACTTTCTGAATTGTGTAAAAATATTCTAAACATTTCTACTTTACAGGCCAAGTTGCAGGATTAATCATGCCAGAGTATGAAGTTTATCCACAGAGATCATCACTAAAAATAATCTGTTAAATTTCCAAACACTAGCAAATAAATAAAAGCCATTAAGAATATAATTAAACATAAACATTTTTTTTCCCGATGTATAATGTTTTGCAGTGGAAAGATTCACTACAGTGTCTTTTTCATTACTCAAGTGTCAAACTGCTGTAAACAATTCCTTGACAAAGCAACTGGGGCAAAGAGAAAAAGAGGAAGGTGGGGAAATTAAAAACATAAAGGAGGCAAGGCATGGATGAGGACAGAGGCATCATTTCTTGCTTTTAAGCTTTGAAGTCATTAGCATGGAGGACCTGAGCAGTAATTCTCATGGACAAGCGTGCTGGCAGTCCATTCGAAAGGAATACAGTTGCAGCTAGTCTATACAGAACATACCTGTAGTTCGGATGAGCAATGGGTATGTGATGTTTTAGTTGTGGGAGAGTTGCAGTATTATTGCTTAAAAATGAAAATAAATATATGCCGACTATGTTAGCTGATGACTGAGAAAATCTAGGAAAAAGCATGAGGAACAACTTGCTTCCATGTTGAGGACGTTCAGGGCAGGAAAGAGTAAAGAAAAAATATGAGAGAGGCACAGCTTGAAATTTTAAGTACTTATACCAAATAACTTTGAGAGAGTATCCATTTTGCTGCACAAACACTTCACACCTGTGAGCCAGATTGCATGTGCTGAGCTGAGTTTACTTCATGCTGATTTAACTCAACACTGGAGGGGCTGAGCTGAGAAACATGAAAGTGGAAACAGTACAAGAAAGTGTACATGTGCAGTCACACCACCTGCAATTTATGGAAGCTGGGAATGAACACTGAGTAATCTGATATGGGAATGGTTATGTTTAACGTGTCACTTATTTTTAGTGACTATTTGGAGTGTTCACATTACCATGAGTAATAAAGGAAAGCTTACAAACACAGGCAGATGTATCAAAAATGTGAAGGATGTGCATGTTACTATTCAATGGCATTAGTATGAATAATCTTGTCATACGCTGAATATATTCTGTGCCCATGTATATCTAATACACATGTTCATCTGTGAGGAAAAATACAATTGTATGTGATGTATGCTACACTAAGGATGCCATTGAAACCTCAGTAAAGCTTGGTCAAAAGTTTGGTCAAGCTTGGTTTCAGAAGCTCCGACACATTCTAACCTAGAATGTCTAGACTGGAATGGCAACATGACAGAAGGCAGCAAGGAGCTCCATTAAGTTTTTACCCAACTAAGTACTTCTGCTGAAAGGGAAGTAGCTTGTGTGTGGCACTACAATCAAATGCTGCTGCTCAGCTAAATCTGAAGTGGTTATACTTATACCAGCTGTGAAGGCAGCAGTGAGTCATCATCATTGTGTACAAAGAAGAGAAGCTGAGGCTGCCATAGAGATTTTCTGTTAAAAATTTGAAGAAATTTCCATTTCAAAGTGGTGCTGTCCTCCTGTTACAACCTCTGTGTGGCCTCAATCCATGCAACGAGTCTGCTGCCAAATGAAATGTCACGATCCCATAGTTCAAATTGTCAAATTTACACTGGAGTTAGGTCCACTGATCTTCTAGTAAAATGTGGAAGTGTATGTAGAGTTCTATCTTCTAGGGCTGTTCAATAACAATGTGACTCACAAGAAGAATCAATTGAGAAGTGGTGTAGAATACCAGTCTAACTATGCTTATATTAGCTAAATGCTAGACTTATCTAAAGATCAACCTGCTCTAGTGTCTTCTGGTGGAATGTCCTAAACACACACACACACACTGTCTGTGGGCACATAAATGTAAGTGTTTCGGCTGTGTATTTCAGATGCTTACTGCTATGACAGAAACTCCAGCTGCTGTGCTGTTCGGCTTAGGGCCTGTGTTGAAATGCTTCTTTATCTTCCCAGCTACTGAGAGCTGATGTTCATTCTCTGGAAGGCCATCATCCTGCAAAGAAATAAAGCAAAATAAAACTTGAGAGAGAAAAGGGAAAAGAAAGGAAATTGCAAGGTGATTCTGATAGCGTCTGTCAATATAGAAAAGTGTACAAAAAGTTTGTATTAAAGTATGGGTCAGTCACTGTCTCCATCAATATATATAAAGTATTTGTAAGATGAACATCATATTATGTCATGAACCAGTCTCTCTCTTCTTCTTTACCCAATATTTTCTTCTCAAACTTCATGTGATGTTAATTAATAATAATTGTTAAATATTTGATTATTCTAATTATTCTTTCTACCACATCTTAACTACCACTTCCCAGTTACTTTTAGGTCCATTAATATGTCAAAGCTTCATAAGCTCAGACCTGTTTATGATACTGCATACTCATCATATAAATTTAATTATAATAACATCAAAAGTAAAAAGTATCCAAGAGATTACAAAAACAAGAGTCCCTGTTTTGGTAAGATGCAGGAAAGGATCTTCAGAAACCCTGAGAGACACCTATAAGGTCCTTGTATCATTGTAAATGTTCCACACTCAGGGACTGTGGGGTTGGGTGAAAGATGTGGCCACAGCTCAGTGAGTTCCACAGTGAGGAAACCCAGGCGAGATGGGAGCTGAGACATGCCCTGCCTGAGCTCCTTGGGATGTGTGAGGGTGACACCTCACCAATGCCAGGATTCATCATTGCACATTTCTGCAGGCCAGGTCAAGTGCAAGCTTGAAGCTTGCGGTGGCATTCCCTGCAGACCATGACTGTACTGTAGTTAATCAAAGCCACCTCCTCAAACCAAATCTCCAACTGACTAATACCAAGGGACTGCAATACCTTCCCCCAGTCACAAGGCACACAAGCCTGGGGATGCTGTGGGGAAAGGTGCATGAATGCAGACAGAGGTACAGACTGCTTGGAAAAGCAGAGAAGGGTGGAAGCCAGCTGTGGGTGGCCTCTTCGTCCATGCTGAAAAGCACATGTTCTCAACTGGAGATAACCTGAGGTAAAAGTAGGAACAAAACTGCATGGCCAAGCAGAGGCAGGCACATGTTCTGCTGTGGCGTGCACCAAGCAAGCCAGATGTGCACACACTCCAGCCCAGACACCATGCATGCTCCTTTCAGCTGAGACATCCTACTTTGCAAAGCAAACCTGGATATCTGCACCTAGACACACCGGCATCCTCCATGCTGAGGTGAAACCCTAGTGAAAGAAGGTAGTCTGCAGTTTTGCACAAGTCTGCATGTTGAATTCAAGTCAAGATAAGAGGAGGTTTTATAGAAATTATTTAAAAGACCCTTATGCCTGAAAAAAGTGCAAAAAACCACTGCTCGGAGAGACTTCCCCACTAGCAGAATATGAAGGATTTCAGGCACAATATGCAGAATAGGGAAAAAAATGCAGAACAGGCAAAATATGCAGGACACCAGCTCATCGGCGACCCACATGGTCATCCCAAGCTGGTATTGCATGGAGTGTGTAGCTATCAACAGCTGAAAAATTTCTTAAACACCACTTAAGTGAAATGCTAGCAGAACATAGGCAAACGAGACAAGATCAGAATAGAGAGAGATGACTGACATTTTTTTTTGACTTTGCAGCAATTCTGAGTGCAGTTAAAGAGTTACAGCGCTGCTGCAGTAAATCACGAGTTCAGAGAGCATATGGGAATTTTAGGGAGGTTGGTAGGGTTTGTTATTTATTTAGCTTGAGGAGTTTGTGTTTAGAGATCCCTTACTCACCCCTTAACAAAATGTCTCAGCTGGCAAAATATGGTCAAGTGCACACAGCTGCAAAACACAAAACAAAACAATACAACCCAGTAGCTGATTATTGTCTAGCACTGGGGAGTCTTGGCTCAGTGGTATATGACCCCTAAAAATAACCTGCTTTCTGTTGACCTTGCCTTTCCCAGAAGAGAGCTAGTCTGTAAAGTGAACTCCTCTTCACTAGAGGAGGGGGAAAAATATAATCATTCTCTTGGCTTTCTAGACATGAAAGCCTGCCAAGCGTGCGTGTCATCTTGTCAAAAGACTAAATTACGGAGAAGACAATAGTTACCAAGACTGTGGCCATATTTTATTGGTGAAGCACCACACCCACAGTTCCAGTGGCAACATGCCACAGACACACAGTTTGGGCTCCAGCATTTAGATGAAATATCCTCCAGCTCAATGTAAGATGCAGCACAAGGATATATTGGAATTACTCTATCATTACTAAATTTTCTTACTACTGTTAGTGCTACCTGATGTTAAGTACTTACCTTTTTTTTCTATTAAAACATGCTTTATGAACAAGTTAATATATACTAGCTGGCTCCTGGAATGACTTCAGTCAACAATAAAATAGATAGCTATTGAGTGTGAGAGATGACAGCTGTTTAAATAGACACAAAACAAGCTGCTCTGCAGTTTTAAAAAGCAAAAAGTGAGAAAAAAAATCATCACGCTGACCAGAATCAGCAGGGAAAGTTGTAGAATTGGAGAACAGGGTAAACTTTGCTAAGAATTTCATCGGATTGCTGTAATGGGAAGGATGTCAGACACCAAAGAGGTTCCTTTCCTCTATTTTAACATAATGCTTCTTGCTTTGAGCAGAATTTCATCTCAGCTTTATTAGTCAGCACAAGATCTTTTAGAGATGACTAGTGAATTTTGGTGCTCAATGTGGAAACATTAAAGGGTCATGAGCTTCAGAAAATACTGATTGCTGATACTCTAAAAGAAGCACTCTCCTATGCATGTCACAGAAGCTGAGCAGTCACAATCCACTGAGAGTCTGAAAACTCTGGCTCAGAATTTGAGTTTTCATATGGACAATGTAAACTGCTTGGAATGTTAAAATACTCTTTTTCTTTCTTTTTTTTTTTTTTTTTCTTTTAAATCAGCCTCCACAAAATACCTTTCATGGGCTATTAGCAAGAAATTCAAATAAAATTTAAAAAAAAAAGCTGGAGGGTCTTGGAGTCATTCCAGTAATTAGTAAGTGATTGACTGGCAGGAGACATTGCCACTCAAAGGAAAAAAAAAGTGTTAAAAAGATGTAATGGAGTTCAGGATTCCCAGACTCCTACTGCCCTGAAGCACTCAGATCCATTTCACAAGTCAGTCACAAGAGCTTTACTTTCCAGGTCTAAAAGCATCAGATGACTAGATCATTATATAAATAACAGCAGGAAATTAAGCAAATAGAAGTGCTGGAAAAGCTTTTGGACACTGTTTCCTTTAAGGATTACATGGAAATCTGGGCAGTGTCCTAGGGTGTAACCAAAAGCAGTGCAGCTGCCAAATAAGAAATGTCCTTTTAAATTAACTTCCTTACAAATTTTCAGTTTATTGCTACTTACTGCTTGGTTGTTCATTTCTTTTGCACACAAATTTCCAAGGCAGACATAGTGAAGGGAATATGTAAAAGCTCCAGTTTCCTTAATTCTTTGTAGGCTGATGTGTGCCATCTTCATCCTCCATCAACAACACAGCACATTTTATATTATTTTAATGGAAGAGGATTTATGGAATGCAATCCATCCCTTTCACCATTCACTGCTCAATGATGTATTAGGAAATATTTACTACTTATGCAACAAAAAGAGAAAGTTGTCCTGTAACTTGTTTCATGTTATCAATGACATCAATGTTTAAAATGCCAGACCTCAGGCCTCCAAGTCTTTTATAGTTCTTGGCTTTGCCAAAACATTTGAGCAGGTAAAGTAAAGAGCTTTGGTCCTTGTAGGGGAAGTATAAACTGATGGATTTGTTTCCAGTCTAAGTATACTGCTTAGGAGAGATGACTCCAAATAAACTAAACTAAACGGAAGGGGCAAAGAACTGCTGCTGAATTGCATTTAGAATTCAAGATCTCCATCTGTGGCAGTGGCATGCAGCCAACATCTTTTCAGGTTTTGTTTTTTCAATTGAAAACAGCTGGGATGTTATTGACACAGGAACTGCTTTACTGGTCTGACTCTGACCATAACAAGTTTTGCAGTTTCCAAGAGGATTCCAGCTATTTTTATAGCAAAAACTGAAACTGAAATGAGGGTTGGCTCCTGCTG